TGGAGAATGAGTGATTCTGATTGGTTTTGCTTCTGAGAATTGCCAGGAAGCGATTGTGATGCTTGTTAGGTCCTAAAAGTGCCTCCAAGCTTGATTTCAGTTTCACACTTTTTGCCAATTTTTCAAGTTTTGCTTTTGGTGTTCTTGCAGTCTCTAGCCCATGATCTCGTGTGCTTTGGCTTGTATAAGTAATATGCAATGCATTAGGTCAACAAATATGGATTGAATCCTTCCAAATCAATGCCTTGAGATTGGATTTGATCCTCCATTGAAAGCTTGCCTATTTTGTCCAAAATCCAATCTTTTTGCCCATAGAATGCTTGATACGAGTTTGATCATGTCATTGATGATGATTAGGTCCTGAAAATAGAAAAAGATCTCATGTAATCAAGTTTTGTGATTTTATTTGATTTAAATTGATTTAAAATGAAATAATTCAATAAAAAATCCAATAAATAGAAAATTTGATAAATGGACACAAGGCTGAAGCTAGGACACGTGTGTAGTGTGGCAAGATCAAATCAAGTGGAAAAGAATGGGCCCATTTGACAAAATTTGAAGTTTTGGGGATAGTTGACTTTTGGCAATTTTGCAAAAATGCCCAACTTCAACAATGCATAACTTCTTCAATTTTGAACTTTTGGAAGTTTTCTTGGACCTTTTAGAAATCTTGAGATGTCCTCTAACCAACCCTTTTGGTCTCATCTCATTTTGATATTCCATGCTCAAGTTATAAACTTTGGAAAAAAAGGTGTTTTTGTTGACTTTCAAAAATGACCTATAATGTCCAAATTCATAACTTTTTGTGAGTGCATTTCTTGATCTTGGGGTGTGAAGATGGATTGTAGGAAATTGCATCCTCTTAAAAATGAGATTTGGATGGGTCATTTCTCATAAATTATTAGAAAGTTATGCTTGGTCAAAGTTGAGTTGACTTTTCCTACAAAACCCTAATTTAGCAACTTTTGAGTCTTTATGAATTTTGAGCAATCCTTGATGAATCATGATCAACCCTTGATCAAATGATGAAATATCCTTCAAAATGATAATGTTGACAAAAAATATTGAAGTTTGACTGTTTATAGGTCACAGTTGACTTTTGCCCTAGCATAGTCGATTTTTGGACCCTTTGAGCAATTGACTGAGCAAACTTCCTCTGCAAGGCTTGAAATTTGATATGGATGAACTTGAGAACATATTAGGACATTGGGGAGAACTTGAGGTCATTTGGATGCAAGGACCTTGATGCAACACAAAACCCTAATTTGAGGTTGACTGCCTTAGGAGATAGCTTGAATGTCCAACTCTTGAGAAATCTTGAGCCACTTGGAGATTTTTCTTGCAATGTTTTGAGAAATATGGGAGGGAAAATTTTGGGGTACAACAATGTGATTTTTCAGATTTAGTACGTGTGTTCACTTATCTAATCAAACGAGGTAATATCCTTCCTATCTTCACCCTCAATCGCCTATAAGTTGATCTAAATGTTCACTGAAAATGTCTTCGTATATCTCTTTTACATAAATTATTTGAATTTGACATATGCAATTTACATCATATCATTAGGCATGCATAACACACTTCAGATAAGTCATTTTTTTTGGTATGATACCATATTCCCTTGTTAGCAAGAAACTGTGTAAAAACTGCAAAATCTGTCAAAATCCATATTCCATTGACTCACTCATTTTGTTTCTTTCAAGTGCTTGTATAAATGTCTCTTTCAAACATTTTATTGTGCTTATGTAATCTAACTTTTTATCTGCCAATGCATTACTTTTAACGTGATTACTTTATGTTTACTCTGCTATTTACTCACTTATTGATAACTTTATGCCTGACATTCTGTGTGAATGCCAAGTCCATTAACCGCTGAAATTGTATATAAATTTTCCTATGTGCTGAGTTTCTTGAAAATGTTGCTTATTCTCTTTTTGATATGGTCAAAGGGGAAGAAGAAGAGTGTCAGTGAAGATTTTGCTTGTATTAGGAAGAAGATACACAAACTCAGGGGGAGCAAGCTTTTTTTCATTTACACTATATCACAACACATCATCAGATATTTGCCATCATCAAAAAGGGGGAGTTTGTGAGAAACCCCTTCATAGATTGATTTTTAATGATTGCAAATATATATATGAAACACTAAATACATGTGTGCACTATAAAAATATAATATAACATGTTTGAATAAGCCAAAATTACATTTCTCTCATAATGCATCATTATGAGTCGACACATCAAGTTTTGTATCGATACATAGCTTTCTGAAGTCCCTGGAATTGTATCTCAAAACTATTATGTATCGATACAAAAGCTTATGAGTCAATACATAACTCTTTGATGACCCTGGAATGTAAATCTAAAAACTGCATGCATCGATACTTAAATTTCATGCATCGACACATAATATTTTGATCCCATGTAATACTTGTATGAATCGACACAAAACCTTATGTATTGACACAAAACATTATGATGATCCTGGAAAATATTTTGAAACTTATATGTATCGATACATAATATCATGTGTCGACTCATACTATGTTTTAAATTCAAAAGTTAAATTTACAATCAATATGTATTGACACATAAGCATTATGTGTCGACGGGTATAAAAGTGTTGGTTCTGTAAAATGCTATAACATGATTTTGTATCGACTCAAAACATAATGTATCGACCCATCTTGTTACATATAACTAACATGAGTCGACATATGACCAACATGCATCGACTCATATCACTTTATTTTTGACTAACCGTTTTCTGTTATAAATATAAGCAAACATTTCTTCAGAAGCAACACAGTAACATAGAAGATTGTGTGCAAAACAATTGTGAGCAACCAGAAGCTTTTCATTCCTTCATCTTCATCATCTTCTCAACCATCTTACATTCAACAAAAACAAAGAAAATCAAACATCCTTGTTGAATTGAATCAAGCAGTTTGAGATAACGTTCAGCTGTGTATTGAAGAAGTCTAGCTGAGTTGAAGGTTGAAGAGGAAGCTTCAAGAAATAAACCAGAGGGTTTGTCCTTCAAGAACGGGTGTGTTCTTGAGGATTTTGTCAGCCACGGCCGCACGAGTCGGATTCAGCCGTAGCGAGGGGTTTGGAAATCATAAGGATTTGAACAAACAGGTCGTGGAAGCGGATGATCATTTGGTGACTTTGCAGGAAATCTTGATACAACTCATATCAAGTGGTGCTTCTTACAAGAAGAAGAAGATCATAGGGATATCTTTCTTTCTGTGTAGTGTAACCTTGCTATCAAACATTCAACATATTGATATAAAATTTCTCAGTTTCTATTGTGAAATTGAGAGGGAGACGTACCCACACGCGAGGACGACAGTGGGGAACTTCCTTACCAAACTGCATGCGTATCGTTCTCTCTTTCTTTCTCTTTACAATTTTACATATTCTATAATTTTGCAATTCAATTGGCGTGCTAAGTTTTACAGTCTAATGATAAACATAGTGGCTCAAACATCTTCACCAAACCACCACTATTAAATCATTATACAAGCATACACCAAGTGTTTGATAAAATTCCTATCAAATTTCTAAATTCATTGGAAATACTGTTTTATGATAAGTGCATTGAAACGTCAAGATTTCTGAGTTGTACATTCATCCATTTCATTTAATAAAAATCCAACAAAGTTTTCACATGTCAAGTTTTCTAGTAGTCGGTTCAAAGTAGACGGAATTGATTCAGGACATTGATTTTCGCTGCTTTCAACTCGCTTTGATAAAACAATTTTAAATCCTTGAAAAAGTAAGAGGTGATCTATTCACCCCCCCCCCCCCCCCCCCCCTCTCGATCACTTGCCACACCGTCTAACACTTCTCACTGATAATCTTATAATGAGCATTATTATCCTCCTCATAAACCCTGCAGCGATCAACCAAATCAGCAAAGACACGAATTTTATGATATCCAACTGCTTTCTTAATCTCCAGGCGCAATCCATTCTCAAATTTAATACACTTCAAAAACTCAGCATTTTCTTCAGCGTAATGCAGATAGAACTTAGCCAACTCAGCAAACTTGGCAGCATACTCAACCACCGACATACTTCCTTGCTTCAACTCAAGGAATTCAATTTCCTTCTTACCATGGACATCTTCAGGAAAATACTTTCTCAAAAACTCCCTACGGAACACAGCCCAAGTGACATTCTCACCTGCAACTTCTAACTTTCGACAAGTCTCTAGCCACTAGTCATCAGCCTCAACTGCTAGCATATGAGTCCCATATCGAACCTTCTGCGCTAGAGTACAATCCATCACACGGAAGATTCTCTCAATCTCTTTTAACCCCTCCAATGCTCCGTCAGGATCATACTTTCCCTTGAACGTAGGTGGATTCTCTCTCTGGAAAGTCGCCAAGCTACGAGATCCAGCATTCCCGTCAGCATTTGGCTGATTTTCCATCGCATGAGCCATTGCTTCTAAAGCAGCAGCAAGTGCAACATCATTCCTTCCAGCCATCTCAACTTCTCACTACAACATAAACAACGATTAGAACTCAAATAACAATACTCAATTGTTAGACAACTACGAATCGACGACAAGGTCAGACCAACCTTTTGCTATGATACTAACTTTGTAACACCCCAATTCTACCCCAAGCAATTATGCAAAATAAATCAGAGTTATAAAATTTCAATCGTACAAATGAATCAGAACGTCACAAATTCTTCTAACAAATTCATTGCATTCATCATGGATATATAACACTTTTTCAAACATCGGATGAACCATCAACATAACATCTTTAAAATAAATCAACATCTACGCAGCGAAATTCTTAATAACATCTCTAACAACAAAACAACAACTTCGAGACATCACATATTTAATAATAATCAAATTAGAGTTCAACAACTGAAAATCAACAATAAAAAACAGCAAGCGTTCATCCTCCCGAGTGTTACATATCAGAGCAATGACACCGACTCGAACTACCGAAGGTATACAACCTTCACTCTCGATTACCTGCACGTTGCCAACATAGGGGCGACATTCAAACAGAAGGGGTGAGATATCTAAAAATATAATAAAGCGCATGATAATTAGTATATTAAATTAGATCAATAACGTCACCACTTCTCATCTCATGATCAACGATATTACAACATATATATATATATATATATATATATATATATATATATATATATATATATATATATATATATATATATATATATATATATATATATATATATATATATATATATATATATATATATATATATATATATATATATATATATATATATATATATATATATATATATATATCAACATCAAAATATACCTCTTTATAAAATCATATAATGCGACTCAATATTATGCAAATGTATGTGGTACCATTGGAGCAGAACTCTCATCTCAAAAAATCTACCAATTAATAGAGGCATCAACAAGGCATAACCTTCATCTCAAAATTTTCCAATCCAGGCCATCTCAACGAGCATAAGCTCAATCTCAAAAATGCAATGTATGCGACACAACCATGAATGTAATAATAACACTCAAGTTAACAACATCTCAAATCATCTCAATTTAACATCTCAAAAACATCTCAATTTATCATCTCAAAAACATCTCAATTTATCATCTCAAAAAATCTCAATTTATCATCTCAAAACATCTCAATTTAACATCTCAAAAATGTCTCAATTAATCAACATCTCATATCATCAAAATAATTTATCATACATCATGTATTTATTATAAATCATCAATACAATATTGTTAATACTTCTCACTAACAACTCAGCAGTATTTAATTTCCACAGTAAATCAACACTGTCATTCTGTAACTCTAACGTCAATACCATCACTTTCCTACCGTTATAGCTCAAACAGTAGCTTCTAACCATCTAACGTTCATCGCTCTGCACAAACAACGCAAGGGACATCCAACTTCTGACCATGCAACCTCTAACCAACGCTATTTCTAAATACACAACTTCTAATGACACAACCTCTGGACGACATGATCTTCTGACTACTATAACTTCTGACTAATGCAACCTCTGACAGATGCAACTTCTAATCATCACAGCTTCTTACTAACCCCATCTTCTGACCAGGTACAACTTCTAATCATCACATCTTCTGACTAACCCCATCCTCTGACCAGATACAACTTATGATCATCACATCTTCTGACTAACCCCATCTTTTGACCAGATACAACTTCTGATCATCACATCTTCTGACTAACCCCATCTTCTGACCAGATTCAACTTATGATCATCACATCTTCTGACTAACCACATCTTCTGACTAGTACAAATTCTGACTACTGCAACTTCTGATGACATAGCCCTCTGACATCATAGCTTCTAACCCATACAACTCCTAACGTCAGAACTTCTATTTTCTAATAATACAACGCAACTTCTAACATCATAATTTCTACCTTTCACTAGGCCACACAACTTCTAACACCTACGTCTAGCACCAGAACTGTTATTTTCTATTCATCCTATTGTTCTAATACTTCACCTGATATTAATCTAACTAAGAACAATATTAACCAATTTCTATTCTCCAAATTAATTCATTAGTTCTAATACAGTAGTGCCTGATATCATTCCAGCATAGTTCCGCGTTTTCATTACTGCTATATTCAACGTTTCCATTACTGCATCTCACTATGGGATTCACGATTAAAGACCTAAAACTTAATATATTCTTGACAGTTCTTCACCTATAATCACCTTATAATTCTACAGCATTTAACAACATCAAGACATCAATATTCATCAAAACTCATCAATTCTCATCATACATCAATCATATATTCTCAATTCAAGAACAAGACAACAATCACCTCTAACCCCACATACCAATCACCATAAACCCAATTATAGAGTTAGAACCCCATCCTTACCTTGAATTGAAGGTCGCTCTACAATTTCCAGTTGAATTCACGTTCTTTCCGTTTTCCACTTTGTCTAGCGGCTTGCACGTTCTCTTCCAAATCCTTATTCTTTCTACTACTTCTTTCTTTCCATTCCTTCCAACAAATAATAAAATAACCCTATTATTCTATTATTCCTTATTGGGCTTAAAACCAACACCCCCCTTATTACTTCTATCGTCCCAAAATAAGCCCACATTAAATAATATTACACTTTTAATATTATTTCACCATATAATATTATATCTCTAATATTATTTATCCACTTAATAAAATAAATCCAAATTATAACACATCTTCATAAATATTCCAAAAATAATTTAATTAAATAATTAATTAAATTACGGGCGTTACAAGACTCACATAGATATGAGGCCCTCCTCAATCCCTCTTCAGTCACAGATAATGATTGGATCAATACAATTATGAACAAAAAGGAAGACACACTTCCATGACAATCACTAGCCAAGACTCTTGACTAAGACCACAACTTGGATTTTCTTCAAAGCTTCTTCCTAGAACAATTCTCAACTCATTACTTCACAGCTTCTGAGTGAGAACAACAGTGGCCATCTCACAACCTGAGTGGTTCACTTCACCAACTTTTCTAGAGAGCGGCAAAAAGACAAAGCCTTAGAATTCTACATCTTGAACCCGTGTCTTTCCTAGGTTACAAACACTTCTATTTATAACCTATACCCAACTGGATTTGGGCCTTCAAAATACAGCATATCAGCTGTAACAAACAGTGGTAACTTCTGCTACAAACAAGGTCTTCAATCAAATCTTCCTAAATTATCTCCAATTTTAGAAACTCTATATTCTTCAATATTCTGATTTGATTCTTCTTGACCTTTAAATCAGTGCCACATAGGATTGCTTAATATTCCCAAAATATTCTGCATCAGTTAAATCATAACAGAATCTAAATGTCCACTTCAGCTCAGGCGCGGTATCGTATGCTCCTTCATAAGACATCTTATCTGACATATTGTTCCATATGTTGAACCACTTCAACTTAACATGTACTAACACAAGATATGACTTCTTGCTCAACTTGTTCCTGTTAGAAAGTTAATACATCTTGTCTAATATATTGATGTATTATTTGTTTTATAAAAATTAATGTCAATCCTTAAAACTAAGGAATTTACTATAACAATAAATTCAAAATTCCCCTTTATAGTAGATGAAACCTTCCATTTATGGTGAACATTGACAACAATCTTCCATAGCTCTTTACAATCAATTATGTCCTTGATCGGCTCAAAGGGCCGGGCCATGACGAATAAAAGATGAACGATAACGAAGGTAGTAGGGGGAAGAACAAAAATAATCAAATCTCATAAATGAACAAAGAAGACCGAAGGATATGAAACTTTGACAAAGGAATATGTGAGAGGAGACATAATTTTTGATTGGTGAGGGTAACAAAATATGGTAAAGCATAGAAAAGGATGCAAGGGAATAGAGGCGTGTAGAGATATTAGACATTGGAAGGAAGAAAAATTTTGAATTTTTTTCTTCTAGAAAAAGCCAAATGTAGGTTTGTGCAAGAAGAAATCAAATGGGTAGATTACCATATGTATGCAAGGTTTGAGGACAGGGGAGAATATGAGGAAACCCGATACAAAATTAGATGCGGATAAAAAATATAAAAACAAAGTGTCAGGCAAAAGTATCCGGATAAATGCATTTAGGTAGAAAAGTTATAATTGGTTTGCATAAGGTAGACTTGGTTATTTGAAAATGGGCCCAAAAATAAATTTTTTGGTTGCAATGAAAAGAAAAGGTACACTTAGTTAGGATTTGGTTAGTTTAGACACCCAATGACCTTATAAAAGTTAGTTGGCATTCAAAGAGTAAAGGTTATATTGGACTTTTCTAGAGCATCTACTTTTCTTATACGTTAGATTAAAAAAGGAAATTTCTCATTACACCCCTACACCTTCTCACAGGCCCTGCGTGAAATTTCTAAAATGCCCCATGTTTTCGGAGATATATTTCCTGACACGCCAATTCTTCATTTTAGGTGAAGATAAATTCAAAGATGTATTTGTGGAGGGATTTTAAGGTGTGTCCAGAGATGCATCTCTATTCCAAGAGGGCCCACAAACACTTCATTACCGATATACTTTAGAGAGCATGTGGCTCTGCATATATATGGGATAAAGAGGTATATTTTTTAAAGGCTCTATTTTTATATTTTAACCAAATTCAACTCGACTAAGACTATTATATTTTATTTTCAACAGGAACATGAGTGTCTGAAATTTATGAGCCATGCAAGAAAGATTCACAATCTTTATCAGCCTACGGATGAGTGGTTCCAAATTTCATTTCAGAACTTCGGCCTTGTAGGTCATTGTGCTTTCAGGTACAACATCATCAACCATGCATGCAAGTTGCACTTATTGAGATATGGTATAACAAAACATCATCTTTCCACCTCCCCCATTAGCGAGATGAGTATTACATTAGATGATGTTGCTTTCCTTCTACACCTTTTCATCAGAGGAAGGTTGCTTGATCATTCTAATATTAACAAGGAAGAAACAGTGGATATGATGGTGGCTTATTTGGGACCTGACTCTGCTGAAGCCTTTGAGGAGTGTAAAATCACCATGGGTGCACATGCCAAGTTTTTTTGGTTGGTGAAGTTTTATGACGACAACTTGGAGATAGTCGAACACCCATACGTTGATGATCTTTGGGCTGGCTACCATAGGGAGTGTGCCCTGAAATGTTTCTTCTTGTTCTTAGTTGACACGTCCATGTTTATGGACAAAAGTGCAACCTACGTAGATGTGGTGGTTCTTAAGTATTTCATCGACTTGGAGTCCATTCACAAGTGGAACTGTGGGGCCGCATGCTTGGTATACATGTACTCTAAGCTGATCGAAGGTTCTCGTTGAACGAAAAAGCAGATGATAGGCTCATGCATCATACTTACGGTAAAAACACCTTTTTTCACACTTGTTACTAATATTTTTTTTCTTATACGTTTTCAGGGATGTATCTTGGCCATTATCACCGCATTCACAGGTTTCAGCATGACCCGTTGTATATTAAGGATTTTCAATTTGATTATCAGTTTGTCCCTAGTAGAGAGAATGATTTTGTGGTGTCATTCCGTGTGTATATCGACCAGACACAACATGATGATGTCGTTTGCATGCCATACACTAGTCATCAGGACACTATTCCATTAGACCATATTTCTTTATACTATGGATGAATGACATGTGGGACTAATATCATGTGCAGGTAGGTATCTTTCTGAGCGGTGCATGTGGCAGTTTAAGTACGTGCAAATTGTAGCACCACGTGTTGTAACTGGTAAAAAATACAGATAACCCTAATTGTTTAGAGATTCTAAGTTCGTGAGTTGGTTATACGAAGGGAAGGTGTTAGGCATCCTTCATCTTCCTTGTTCTCAAGGAGCTCCACTTTTTGGTTTAGGGGTAAATCGGGGATTTCTACTTAGAAGTTTATTGTCTCCATGTATTTAAGAAAAGAGCTTAATCTTTTAGTTGAAGGACTCGCCTCGGTTTTAACTGTGTGGCTACGTATCTCCTTGCGAAGAATCAGAGTCCAAATTCGTAGTTCGTAGGTTTGGTTGGTATTTTTTATAGGATTACGTAGAATTGCTTTCGAGTTATCCTTGAACTTTATCCGAGTTTGAAGGTTGGGTGATTGTAGACGCATTTCGTAGTTAATTTTGATAGCAATTCTATTTAATCCTTTTTTTGAAAATGTCTTGAATTATGTTATCTTAGTGAAAAAAACATGTTTTTTCGTTATTGGTTAGCTGTTTTAAGTTTGATTGGTCGATACATAGTTGATCTTTATTAAAATTCGATCGCGCTAGACGAAGAAATTGACTTTAATTTGATTATCGCGTTGAGCGATAGCGTTTGATTATTATGTTGAGCAAAACCAAATTTTACATGAATTTTAATTATTTGATGTTGAACAATTAATTGATAAGGCATTAAGTCAATCAAAAAATATATGGTGGATGTGTATCCACCAATTATATTATATGTTTGAATTAATTTGATTAATTTGATGAATTTTAGATATCTTGATTTGAATAAATCAATCAATAAACGTTAAATCGGCTAATCGATTATTCGAAGACATCCACCAATCCTATTTAAATATTTGAATTAATTTAATTAAAAAGTATTTACTTTAATGTTTAGTATTTTTTTTAGTGTTTTATATTATTTTTGTTTAATAATAAAAATTAAATAGCTAGATTAAACTAAGTTAATTCTAATTTCTTAATTTAAATAATTATTAAAGATAGGGGTGCATGCTTAAGAGAAGAGAGTGGGGACTTAGTAATTTAGAAACTATGAGTCTAAATAACAATAAATAAATAAAAGGTAAAAAGTGAAAATAAATAAATAAGTATAATAACACAGTCAGTGTGAAAAGTGAAGGGTGGACCACTTTTAGTGGTAGTTAAGATTTTTTCAAACAAACATGTTCCAATATAATATTGACACATGACAACTTACGAAAGAAAAAGAAGAAAAATAATAATAATTAATATATATATATATATATATATATATATATATATATATATATATATATATATATATATATATATATATATATATATATATATATATATATATATATATATATATATATATATATATATATATATATCACACGTATGAGAGATAGAAATAACACCACAATAATTACTCTCTCACTTTTACGGTCTGTTCTTCTTCTCTCAATTTCAAAACAACACTTCTACCCAAATCAAAACAATAATCACTAACAATCCAAAAGTATAAAAATGAGAGGAAGATAAATGGAACAAAACCTTAGTTGTGTGGAAGTCCCGAACGTCTGCGGTGGTTGGAGGGGATTGGACGGTAGTCGAAGGTGGTGTCGGAGCTGAATTAGACGGTTGCGGATCTGAGATCGGATGATGCGGAATCGGACGACGCGGTGGTTTTGGAGGTGACCGATGAAACGGCTTTGCGGTGGGCTGCAGTGGTGGCTGTAATGTTGAAGATGAGTTGAGCGGTCGGAGCGTGCCGGTTGTGATTCCGGTACGACAGCTAGCGTCGGCCAGTGACGATTGGGCGGAGCTTGGAGTAGTGGTTCCGTTGGCAACGGTTCTCGCGGTGGAGGCTTTGTCTTCTTTTTTATCACTTTTTGTTGTTCCGTCTTTTTGAATCCGCAGAGTATTATCATTTGAAAATGATGATGATTATCTTGTGTTAAATTTGTGAGAGAAAGTTAACATGAGGCTGTTTTTGTTTGTGAATGAATTGTTAGTTCTTCAGGTTTTTTGAAAAAAAAATGAATGGAAAGTGTGGATGGTTGTTATTTGTGAATCGAAAAAATATATGTACTTGTATAGTAAGTGTAGAAATTTTTAGATGAAAAAATTAGTATCAATTGGTGGAAAAAAAGTGAAACGTAGATAAAAATGAGGTTAGTAAAATTAGTAATGTTAGAAGGGTTATCTAGTGTGTTAATTTCTATACCAAATATGTACATAAGTGAATGGAAAAATGTATGTGCACTGAATTGTTGATGGTGTGTAACTGTTTAAGAAAAGAATATGGTTGTCTGTTTAAGTACAACCTTAAAATAATAATTAAAAAAAGTGTATAAAAATATTTGTGAGAGAGATTGAGAATTGTTGATGTTGAGAAATTTATGGATATTTATAGTGATAATTAGGTTAAGTTAACCAATTAAAAATTGAGGATGACACAAATTGATTAATGAGAAACAGTTAACTAGAAAAGAAAATATTTTTTGTATTTATTATGATTTTTGCACTCAATTTTTGTAAAAAAATACATGAAATCAAATAAATAATTATTTTTAAAAATGTCTTAAAAATATAAACGAAAATTGATAATAAATAAAAAATACAATTTTGTGATTTTAAAATAGAATAAAGTTAGTAACAAATGAAAGGAAAAATGTTAAAAATATATAGCAAGTGAGATTCGAACCCACGACCTTGTACTTACAAGTTTTATTCCTTACCAATTGTGATATGTCATTTCATTAAAGATAAAAAGACTCATCGAAGCATATGGGGGGTGTGAGCATACTTTGGTATTTTTAAAATACAAATAATTTAAAGTAAATTATTATATATTTTAAATAAGTAAAATAAATTACTATTAAAAACAAATATTATTAATATCCAAAAAATTTATGGAACTAAGTTTAAAAATAGGGCGGAGAAATTTGGAGTATGACACCGCGAAAAAACAGAGTCGCCATCGAATTTTATTTATCCTTAAGAGAAGGGAAAACATCGAAAAAACTCTAAAAGGAAGGATAAGATGGTCAACGCAACTAAGAGAAGGGTACATAAGTCAGTTATGTAAGGGAGAGGTATTAGCACCCCTCATATATGTTGTACTCAACAGAATCCCCTTTGATTGTTTGTTTCTAAGGGTGTGTTATCTAAATCTATAACTTGTTAAGAATGTCTGAATGAGTTAATAAGGGAAAAAGAAAAAGTTTTTATTATTGAGTTCGTCCAGGTTTTACAACCCAGTGCCTACGTATTCTCATAGTGCAATGAAGAAATAAGAACTTTGTAGTTAAGGTGTGAAGAAAACGCAAGAAAGGGGGGTTTGAATTGGATTTTCCTTTCTTGTAAAACTTTCACTTCTAAGCATTATTCGTTGAACAATGCTTCTGATTGTTACTTCTAAGTAATGCTTCTAATTAAATTCATAAAACATAAACTCTAAAGCGTAAGCAAAAGTAAAGAACATGCGATATATCCTGGTTCACTTGAGAAACCCCCAAGCTAATCCAGTCCACCCTTCCGAGGTGATTTCTCCTTGAACTCAAGAACGTAATCTACTATACTCAATCAGATTACAATCGCACGGGCAACTGCCGGTGACTAACATCCAATAAAACGTTCAGGGATCCAAACCGGATATAACATCATTGACTCAAGATAATCTAATTCTCCAGAATCTCCTATTAAGATTTCCTTCCAATAATGTCCATCAGTGATCTCAGAAGACTGACCTTCACTCAGTCCCCTTTGAGATATAACTACCATTGACCCAATAGAATCCACTACCAGAATTTCATCTATGATGGTCGTAGCCAAAGTCTTCTCAAGTCTTCTGATCTTTACTCGATCACTTGAGGTGCCAACAAATTCTGAACATAATTATTTTTCTGGAGATTACATGAGTGCTTCTTATCAAGAAGATTACTCCTAATTTAAGTATATATTGTTTGACACAATTCTGAGCAACAACTCTTGTGTACAAACAATTTACATAAAGATCTTAAGAAATAACACAATTTGAGCAACAACTCTTGTGTTTTACACATTTCTACAAAGATGAATCTAATATAAGTTAAGTGCAGTATCTTGTAGTCTTCTTGTCTTCATCTTCTTTGTTGAGAAAGCTATGAGCAACAACTCTTTGCTTCTTCATAATTCTGTTGAGATGTATATGATTGATGATTTGAATTACATCTTGAAGAATTCTTCATCTTTATCTTCTTTCTTCATTAAGCAAGATATTAGCAATAACTCCTCGATTTTTCATGATTCTTCCAAGATGTATATGATTGGTAAATTGAATAACATCTTGTAGAATTCTTCATATTGTTATAGTGGATGATAGCTTTTTTTTATGTGCTCTAATAATAATAGCTTTTCTTTTTAAATTTAACATCAACAACTTGTTACTTGTAACTTGTAGCTTTTAGCACCCAGCCAAGCAGCCTATGGCAAGCTCATAAATATCCAGCTCGTTCAGCATTATGTGTTAAGCAACCAACTGACCAACCAACGGTTTAAACATACAATTCTTTTCTTATATATCCAAGAAAAATAGAGTCGTTGGATATTTGAAAAAGAGTCTTTACAAATAGTACTACGACGTCCTTATCTCTTCCACACTTTAAGTTAATGGAGAGGTAGTGGCATAAAGTTTTTCATAGTGTATACTATTGTACTGTGTTATCGTTATATTTTTTCCTTATGCACTTCAGAGGCTTCTGCGAGAATGAGATTAGAAGCAAGAACATAACATAAGGTCTTCAGAACTTCAAGTCTTCAGAGTCTTCAAAATTGTGTCTTCATAACTGTGTCTTCAGAGTCTTTAGCACTTGGTCGTGAGAACCCGTTATAGCGAACCTTTAGATCATAAGAACTTCAAGTCTTCAGAGCTACATCTTTAGAGTCTTCAGCACTTGGGCTTGAGAACTTGTTGTAGATAACCTTGGACCTTTATAACTTCAAGTATTTGGAATCTTTATACCTTTTGTCTTTAGAATCTTTAGCACTTGGTTCTTTACAAATCCTTATCTTCAAAACCTTATTATTAGAAACAAAAAGTCTTCAGCATCTGGACTTCAGTTAGAAACGTTGTCTTCGGATCTTTTAACTTTGTCTTCTTTGGAACAAGTTTTCTTTTATAAACTAAGTTTTTATCATTTGGACTTCATTAGAAACTTTGTCTTCAGATCTGCTAACTTTATTTCTTGAAACACACTGTCTTTTAGAAATGTGAATCTTCAGCGTCTGAACGTAAGTAACAACTTCTGTCTTCAGATCTTTTGACTGGTTTCTTTAGACAAATATCAGAGCTTACACTTCAGATCCTTCTGGAGTGTCTTACTACTGTTCAATAGAACTTATGTAGCGTAGAAGCGGAATCATTTCTCTTCTAATGTCTTAGCCACACCATCCATTAGAAGCATAACTTGTTTGTTAAGTACTCAACAATAACAAACATTAGTTCAAAAAATTGTTCATACAATCATACTCATTTGTTATTATTAAAACTCAGAGATAATATTGCAGAACCAAATCTTGTTCTTACAATCTCTCCCTTTTTGATGATGACAAAACTATGTATTTTGATGACACAATTTTGTACATATAATCATAATCAGTGAAATTTAGAAGGGTAAGAAATACTTATCCTTGTTCTGATACTCCCCTTGAGTCAATGACTTGATGAAGATCAAATATCCTGACTTTGAACCATTTGAGTAAAACTCCCCCTGGTTCCAATAGACCAGATATTGAGATCTTGAGAGTCTTGACTTCAAGAATTTCAGACAGTCTTTAACTTCTGATTTGTCTGTTCTTCTGGAAGACATATGCTTATGCTTTTGACTCTTGTGTTCTGATTATCACATTCTCAAACATGATACATCTTCTGAACATTATGATACCAAAATCAAGATAACTTTAACTTTCAGAAAGTTCTCAACTTCTGAACAGTATTGGGTCTATCTGATTCTTGAACATATATTCATAGAGTATACATCTTCTAATAAATGAACAATCAGTTCTTAAGAACTTTAACAAATTTCTTTCATTTTGATCTATCTTATAATGCCTAGTGAACTTGTTCAGAGTTCCTCAGTTAATTATCAAACAGACAAGCACACGTTAGTGGTGAAAATGCATATCTTATATCATTATATTATTATGATGAGTTTTTGCATTTCTTTAGTGTTGTACCCAAAAATTTTCCCTCTCATTTTTTACAAGATCTTCTCTTACACGGGTGGTTACAAACACTTGCTTGAAGACAAATAATTTTTTTTGAAGATTGGTCAAAGTGTCCTTCGATGGGGTGTACTTCGAAGGCATGTCAACAAAATGTCTTTCATTTGGAATATGAATAAGGTGTCTTTCTATTGGCATCTTAACAATGTCTTTCAATTGGAATTTGAACAAAGGCATCTTCGATAGGCATTTTAACGTTACTTCGATTGGTCCAAACTGAAGGAAGTCGAAGAGATTAGAACAAAGTTTTCGATCGATCAACAAGGTACTTCGATTAGCATGGATGCAAGGCCTTTCAATTGGCCTCATGGCCAAGCCCTTCGATTGGCATTGTGGCCAAGCCTTTCGATTGACATTTTGAAATATGCTTCGATTGGCCTCATGGACAAGCCCTTCGATTGGCATGGATACAAGGTCTTTAGATTGGCCTCATGACAAGCCTTTAGATTGGCATGGCAAAGAATCCTTCGATTTAGCATCTCAAATAAGGCAGCTTCGACAGGCATGTTAACCAAGTACCCTTCGATTGGCCTTTTGGCAAGGCTCTTCGATTGGCGTTTCAACCAATACCCTTCGAATGGTATTTGGGCAAAGGATTTTCGAATGACAGGAGGGTGTTCGAAGGAGGAAAATATCCAGGTTCATCCAAGATTTCAAAAGGGGC